AAACTTGAGATATACAGGCAAAGAAACCAGAAACATTCAAGACCAAGGGTTGGGTTATAGGGTTGTTTTATCATTACTAAATGGATTTAAGAATAAGGGACATACAGTATGTATGAACAATTCTTTATCTAAGTGTTCAACTTTTTGATAGTCTGAAAGTGAAGAAAATAGGTGAATGTGGCACAGTGCATACAAATAGAAAAGGTTTATCCACAGAAATGAAGACTAAAAAAATGAAACATGGGGAACTCCAAACAACATGAGAAAATGATGAAACAACAAAGCTTGCCTGTACATAGCAGGACACAAGTAAGGTAAACATGATATCAACTGTAGGTAATGCAGGTGTGAGTAAAGTATAAGTATAATAAAAAAAAGCTATAAGAAGTGTAATGAAACCCAAAATTCAAATTTTGTATAATAAATATATGGGAGGGGTTAAGTTCAACAAGCTGTGCTTTACCTATCCTTTTGATAGGAAGCACAAAAAAAAAAATGGTACCAAACATTGTGGTATCATATTATCAAGGTGGCACTGTCAATAGGTATATTTGTTACAATGTACAAAATCCCAGCAATAAACTGACTCAAAGAAAGAAAGTTAAGAGAATGTGAGAAATGGCTTGCTTGAAGGATATGCCTGAAGAACTTCAAATAAAAGGTGTCGCAAGAGTTTTGAACCAACTGATGCTAGTTTAGTACAGTGCCACTTTCCTAGACATTTTGACGATAATACCAGCCCAAAATGTAATTAGGCGCCAAAAGGGTGAAGGACAACAGGGGACCTGTTGGTCCATTCCACCTGCTAAACTTTAAAATCAGAACACTCAAAGCTAGTTCTTGTCATTCAAATATTCATCAAGCTATCCCTTAAATTAACTGCATCCACCACAGTTGAGGGATACCAATTCCAAAGGCCAACCACCCCACTAAAAAAAGAAAACTGTCTTAGCTGAAGATGACTCCTACCCTGGCAAAATTTGAATTTTTTGTCCCCCTAATCCTACCATTCTCACCATTAAGTATGAAAAAAAAACATAATGCATCAATGCTATTAATTCCCTATAAATCTTAAAACACCTCAATCAGATCCCTTCTAACTGTTCTTTTCTCAACAGAAAAAAATTCAGATATCTTAACCTGTCCTGATATAACAAACTTTCCATCCCAGATATCATCTTAGTAGCCCTTTTCTGAATCCTTTCTAACAATTCAATGTCCTTCCCAAGGTAAGGAGCCCAAAACTGAACACAATACTCGAAATGGGGCCTAACCAGTAACCCATACAATGAAATTATAACCTCTTGTATTCAATATTTCTGTAAATACAAACTAAAATCCTGCCACCAGCAACAACACATTGCTTAGATGGCCAATTAGAACACTAAGCTTCTTTCCTTCCATAAGAATATTACAGTTATTCCAATCAAAATTGTACTCAATCTAAATTTTGATATCCCATATGCATTACCTTGCATTTATTATAATTAAAACACTGATAACAAATATTTAATGTTTCAAAAGTTGGCTCTGAAATAGATTTTTCTAAGTGTGAAAATCCTAAAATTCTTTGAATGCCACAGTAATACAAGGTCAGCTCTGTCTGACCACAATAATACAAGGTCAGCTCTGTCTGCCCACAGTAATAAAAGGTTGATTCTGACACAATTAAAACACTTGAACCAAAGTGTTATTCTGTTAAAAGTAAGAATTAGAAATTGGTATGGTATATCAGTTTCATGTATAATTTCTTTGTAATAAACCCAAACAGCCTTTAGTGAAAACTGCTCTATATTGTGTTTGTGGGGTCTCAAACATTTTGAAAACCACAACTGAAATAATCAAAATAATCCATTTTCACAGTTAAATACTGTACAATACTCTTAATGTACAAGTGATTTTTCAACTTAGAACATCATTTAAAGAGGCCAAAGTTCATCTATACATAAAATCTTGATAAAACAACTCACGTTTAACAATTCAATTCTGAACTATACAACTGATTGTATTTTTAATGATACCATGAGTTGGAATGAGTCATTATATAAAAGTTTACAACTTTTAAGAAACACTAACTATTTGAGCAGGTTGATACATATTTTCACAGTACTAAACTGTACCCCAGAGAGACAATCACTAAAATTACATCACTAATAAACAATAAAAACAAGCCTTGAAACTGAAAAATACATACTATTGGAGAAGAAAAAAGGAATAAAGAAATTTAATACACTTTAAAACAGATGTATGACAGTTTTCCTTGTTGTAAGTGTGCTTTTAAACAGTGCTTAATAACAGCTGGAAAAGCTGTTTCTGGAACTTCTGTCTGACAAGATCTTTCTAAAAACCCTAGTAATACATTTATATTGATACAATGAAAATTTAAGTTATGTCATATAAAAATATATATACGAAAGGAATGAATTATCACAGCACATTGTAGAAACACAATACATAAACAAGCATTAAAATACATCTTAATAATACTGATATAACACTATCTTTAAAAATCCATGTGCATTTTGTGTCAAAACTCCAATTTAATTTTTGAATAATTAAAACCATATTACCTGTTTCTTACGGTAAGTTTTACATCAATGAAAAGAGTATTGTAACAGACACACATTATGTGTGATCACTTTTATGTTATATAGTTTCTAGCTCTGAGAACATTTACATCACTCTATGTTTAGAAACTTCCATTAGAGATGTGCTGTGTTATACAGTATTTTGTCTACCGACTAATTAATTTGGAGTAAGGCCACAAAATACAGTAATAACATTTTGAGATCAAGTTGGTAATAATACATGTACCACTGAAATATTTTATATTTGGATAGATCATTAGATTGGATACCTAACCATCTACTAAGCTATATATACGTTATGCTTATTCTCAGGATTCAGTCATTAACTGAAAAAATTATTTTGCAATTGCATCATTTTTTTAAATTAAAAAAACAGATATCAACTAACTAGTTTGTAGCTGTGTAATGTCACATAGTTACCATCAAAGCCATCAACTAACTGGTGTGTAACTTCACACAGTTAGATAACTAACAAGTAACATCACAAAATTACCATGAAAACTGTGAACTAACTAGTAACTTCACATGATTACCATGAAAGCTGTGAACTAACTAGTAACTTCACATGGTTACCATCAAAGCTGTCAACTAACTAGTGTGTAATGTCACATAGTTACCATCAAAGCCATCAACTAACTAGTGTGCAACTTCACACAGTTACCTAACTAACTAGTAACGTCACATGGTTACCATCAAAGCTGTCAACTAACTAGTGTGTAATGTCACATAGTTACCATCAAAACCATCAAGTAACTAATGTGTAACTTCACACGATTACCATAAAAACTGTGAACTAACTAGTGTACAACTTCACAGTTACCATAAAATATGTGAACTAACTAGTTTGTAACTTCACATGGTTACTATAAAAGCTGGGAACTAACTAGTTTGTAACTTCCCACGGTTACTATAAAAGCTGTGAACTAACTAGTTTGTAACTTCACATGGTTACTATCAAGGCTGGGAACTAACTAGCTTGTAACATCACAAGGTTACTATCAAGGCTGGGAACTAACTAGTTTGTAACTTCACACGGTTACTATCAAGGCTGGGAACTAACTAGTTTGTAACTTCCCACGGTTACTATAAAAGCTGGGAACTAACTAGTTTGTAACTTCACATGGTTACTATAAAAGCTGTGAACTAACTAGTTTGTAACTTCACACAGTTATTATTAAGGATTGGAACTAACTTGTGTGTAATTTCACATGGTTACTATCAAAGCTGTGAACTAACTAGTCTTTTTATGAACAACAGGAGTTTTAAACACTTCTCCTCATGTCAAACTAATTTCCAATCTTTTTCACGTGAAACGTTTTAAACTGTAGTTCACATGTTTATCTATTTGTTTAGCACTAGTTTTAGAAATCATTACATGCAGATTCATCATGAGGGCTGTATCCTAATTTCTTGAAAATACAAAACTTTCAGTCGGTATAATCAGTGCTTACTTAGTAATGCCCTTCCTTACACAGATCATCTATTTATATTGACTGCAGGAATCATAAATGTTGACCAAATCTCTTATTTTTACAAAAACTTCAAAACAGTCTAAATGCCAAAGCTTTAGAATATTAACAGAATATATGTCTACTATGTACTTTTGAAGTTCATTTTCCCTAAAAGTCACCACACTTCACTGAAACACAAGTTTATTTTATTCAAGTAGTGAGTCAATCTAAGCTTTTATTTGGACAAGAGAATACTGTGGAAATAGATTACATGCAGACTGTCTGGTCTGGATTATACAGATTACTGGCAGTAGCAGTTTTTACAGGTAATTCTATTATAGTTTCTCCAAGCCTGAAAATTATAAAATTTGTGCAGGTATTGTGTGTTTGATTGTCATGGTAAATCCAAATCTGACAGTAATGATTCTTCTATCACTAACCTTCACTTACATCATAGAAGCTTTAAAACAAAGTCCATCCTGTAAAACTCTGAAGAAATTAATGATTAAAATTAACAACTCTCTATATATATAAATACAATACTGTTTTATGTCCATGTAACTACTTCTATATAAATATAATAGTACTGTCCATTATATGTCCATGTAACTACTTCTATATAAATATAATAGTACTGTCCATTGTATGTCCACGTAACTACTTCTATATAAATATAATAGTACTGTCCATTGTATGTCCATGTAACTACTTCTATATAAATATAATAGTACTGTCTGTTGTATGTCCATGTAACTACTTCTATATAAATATAACAGTACTGTCTGTTGTATGTCCATGTAACTACTTCTATATAAATATAACAGTACTGTCCGTTGTATGTCCATGTAACTACTTCTATATAAATATAATAGTACTGTCCGTTGTATGTCCATGTAACTACTTCTATATAAATATAACAGTACTGTCTGTTGTATGTCCATGTAACTACTTCGCAAGGTGTGGATGGATCTTCACCAAAATTGGTATGGAGGTTCATTGGGTCCATGGGGAGATACATACAAATTTTCAGTGTTACATTTTGCATGTTTTACCACTACTTAGCCCCCTGTTGATGGATTTTCACCAAATTTGGCATGAAGGTTTGTTAGGTCCATGGGAAAATACCTACAATTTTCAGTTTTGCATTTTATGGTTTTTATGGGCATTTTTTTATTACAGCAAACTCAGTGATAATTCTACCTGAAAAAAAAAACAATCTTTTTTTTTTTACAACAGCAATTTAAAGCTTGAGTTCACAGCTAATTTGTACTAACTCACATAAAACATTATTTATCACTAGTCAGGAAAAATCCTACTAACGCTTTTACAACATCCACCCAAAATGTCAACTATAATGTATGGAAAGTTATTTTTATCATCTATATAAAATTGTTTCTCTGTTTCAACAGAATGTATAATTAAGACATTTCACTTCAGATTATCAAAGATTCAAAGGATTGTTTTACCAATTGAGCAGTTCAGTAGTTACAACACATACTTACACAGCTCTATGATTGTAGAAGTCATGCTTTCAGCTGAAGTAATTGAGCTCACATGGCTGATTAAAACATAGTAATGAATGATTTTTTTTGTATTCAATCTATTAAGTCAGTAAATTCCTTCACATGTACAAAATCTATTCTTCATATAAATTCCTCTCCAGGTATGGGCCTTAAATTACAGCATTTTATGTTCCACACATGTATATCACTGATTTAAAGGTTTATATTTCAACATTCACTATGTTTTCTTTAAAATAATTTTAAAGATTGGGATGGATAATTGTATACTACTTTTTCTTCAGAGCTTCTGCAAAATTTTCCACATTGTCTATGTATATATGTTTCTGCTCTGTTGACCTACAGTATCACACAAGTTATCACAACATTCTTCTTATGATTTTTTTACAAGTCCGATTTGATGACAACGACACACATGCCAGCTCGGCCAGTGGCCAAATGTTGAACTTTACTCCATTCATTTGTCTGAGGATCATAAGTCTCTACTAAATTCAGGTATGCCTGCCCATCATAACCTCCAATAGCAAAGAGCTTATCACCTAAGACACTTACTCCAATAGCATCACGACCAATACTCATCGGACTAACAGCAGTCCACACGTCAGTTTTGGGATCGTAACGCTCAACACACTGAAATCGAGAGGCGCTTGGATTAACAGCAGGAGCATCATGTCCACCCAAAGCAAAAAGATAACCATTAATCACACCTACACCAACACCACCTCGGCACTTAGACATGGAAGCACATTGTGTCCACTTGTTAGTGTGAGGGTCAAAACACTCCACAGACCTGAGGCATGAACTTCCATCTCGTCCACCAACAACATATAATCTGTTATTCAAAACAGCTACTCCTGCAGTGCTACGCTGCGTGTTCATTGGAGCCACGTAACTCCACTGACGAGTCTGAGGATCCCATCGTTCCACAGTGTTAAGATAACTCCAACCATCATGACCCCCAACAGCATACAATGGACCTTCTAAGACTGCAACCCCAAGGCCATGCCTATGAGTAGACATAGATGACATAGAACTCCAAGTTTGGGTTTTTGGGTCATAGCATTCAACTGTATTTAGTGTCTTTAGACCATCCCTTCCTCCTACAATGAAGAGCTTGTTATCAATCACAGCCGCCCCAAATTGTAGACGACGTCCATTCATTGCCCCCACACGAGTCCAAACATTTGTTCTAAAGTTATACATTTCTATGCTGCTTGTCCCTTTACAATACTCCATACCTCCAACAATATAAAGGGCTCCAACAGTGGATTTTCTGGGCTTTGTACGAGGTGTCTGAAGTTGAGATCGTCGTTCTGGCAAAACATGATATTTAAGTGCTTCCATAATGAGATCTTGACACATTCTATCACTCCTTAATAAACTGTTTTCTTCTACATGATCAGCAATGAATTGTGGGGCTAGAAGAGGAAGCCTCACTGCTCCCAAAAGTTTTCCTAAATGCTTCTTACGATTACTAACATCATGATTTAGCCAGGTTATGAGAGAATGGAATACAATTTCTTCACTTGGAACATTAATATCATCACTGAGAAGAAGTTCATGGAGTTCTTCAGAAGGAAGCAAGATAAATTCTTGATTGTGTATAACTTCTGTGAAATTTTCCATTATGTAGTTGTATGCAGTTTTTTGTAGTTCTATGCAACCTTGGGACTCAGCAAACAGATGAATTCCAATACAGTTGGATGGATGAAGCTGATGTATCATAAAGCCTGAACAGAAGCGAACAACTTCATGCAACTGAAGTAAAGAAGCAGTTGACAAAAGTACTTCTGCCGTATTCTCGTGTAGCTCAATGGTTCCAGTATAACAATATTCTATCAGACAGCTCAGTGCATCTGGATCAACATTATGTAGCACAACTTCCTGTTCAACGGCCTCCCGTAAATTGTTGGTGAACATGGCTGCAAAGTAGTCACTTGCAGAGCTTAGCACTAACCTGTGTGCAGGTATGCGACGATCACCAACCACTAGAGTAACATCAGTAAGCATGTTTTGAGAAAAAAATACTTTCATCTTTCCGAGGCTGGTAATTGCATGTTTGACCACATCATTTTCACCCATGTAACTCCGTCTGGAAGATAGACTTGACAAACTTGAACTGGTAGATACTTGGTCTTCTGTCATTATTGTCAATTTTCCTACTAAAACCTATGATAAATGAATACATTTTACAACAAACATGACAATGTTTATTAAATTTTGGTTGACAATTCAAACAGATATAACTGTAAATACAGATGACAGTTAACTATGAAATACACATTTAGTCACTGTTTTGTTGTATTCATTTGAAAAGACTTAAGTTTGAACACTACTAATATCCAACACAGTCACATATTTAGGTGTGTAGAGATTTGTGAATAGGATTACGGTCTCTGTATTGATATAATTCTTCCAGTTTAAGAACCATTGTTAGTTTTACACATAACTCATTATATTGCTACAATACTGTTCCAAAATATTCAGTCACTTACAAAAATAATTATCTGAACAAATCACAATGCACATTTGTAACCGACAAATGTTAAGAATAATGTTAGCAATAATTCTGTTGATATGTTAAATGTGTAGTTCAAACATTAAGCCCTGCCCTGTTAAGCCAAGACTTTTAACTTCAAGATAACACCTGGAAACATCTAATCAACTGTGGTGTAATCTTAAGTTACTAATAAATGTAGAAAGACCTTACCAGTGTTGTTACACACATTGTTTTTGTAGTTTTGTAAGTAGAAAAAATACCAAACATATTTTTTTTGCATATATGTACGTATGTATTATTACTTATCCGTAGAAGGGTTTTTTTCCATTTCCATAACTGACGTATATGTACAGGTGGAGATGATAAAGGGTTAAATATGCATTTCTGTTAAAAAAAAAATCTTATCATATACAGTAACTAGGTAATATACATTTACATCAGTTACAGCCTTTTCTTGCATGAATTAAATATTTTATGAAGTTTTTACACTTAACTCTGTACTATTAGTAAATTAATTTTTGTTTTCAGCATTTATGCAACACCTTAGATATTCTGCTCTCCTTTTATGTGTTTTTTGTTTGTTTTAGAACAACGCTACATTCCACTATCTGCTGTGTCCATCACAGAGAATCTAATCCCGGATTTTGGAATTGTAAGTTCATAAACTTACTGTTGTCCCACCAGGGGACCCTTTTATATGTTTGTTTTAGAACAACGTTACATTCCACTATCTGCTGTGTCCATCACAGAGAATCTAATCCCGGATTTTGGAATTGTAAGTTCATAAACTTACTGTTGTCCCACCAGGGGACCCTTTTATATGTTTGTTTGTTTGTTTTAGAACAACGCTACATTCCACTATCTGCTGTGTCCATTACAGAGAATCTAATCCCGGATTTTGGAATTGTAAGTTCATAAACTTACTGTTGTCCCACCAGGGGACCCTTTTATATGTTTGTTTGTTTGTTTTGGAATTTTCGCGCAAAGCTACACAAGGGCTATCTGCGCTAGCCGTCCCTAATTTAGCAGTGAAAGACTAGAGGGAAGGCAGCTAGTCATCACCACCCACCGCCAACTCTTGGGCTAATCTTTTACCAACGAATAGTGGGATTGACCGTCACATTATAAGCCCCCATGGCTGAAAGGGAGAGCATGTTTGGTGGGATGCGGATTCGAACCCGCGACCCTCAGATTGTGAGTCGAGCGCCTTATCCATCTGGCCATGCCGGGCCTATAAGGCCAGATTCTTTACAGTATGTGTCTGTGACAGTACATAACCCACTTGTTTTAAAATAAGATATATATATATATTCAAAACAAGTCAAACGTATGTACAAAACTTCGTTACACTATTTACCACAGTTGAATCTAGAGCTTTAAATAATTCTCGCTCTTCTTCTTTTTTTTTTTGTCAAAAGTCCACACAGGCTGGTTCAGTTACTTTAGAGCTCAACTGACCAGACGAATTATTTCTTCTCTCCTGTGTTATCACAATACAATCAGAGATAAATTCACTTACTTTACCCTGTTACCCCGTGGGTTACTAGATGTATCCAGAGCTTTAAATAACTCTCTTTTTGTCAAAAGTCCACACGGGCTGGTTCAATTACATTACTTTAGAACCCAATTGAAAATATGGATTATTCTTCTCTATATGTGTTTTTACAATAAAAACTGTGAAACTCACTTTAGAAATCGCCCGTTATGGCTAAATTCACATGCAGGCTAACTTCACTTTTTCTTTCACTTTCACCAACGTACTTTCTCTCTGTATTTTGCCCGTATTTGTAACACGCGGCAGAAATATCTAGTACCAACAATATTTAACATAAC